AACCATATGAGAGATGGATTGACCAAGTCAACGGCTTGGATGACTCTTGCCATTGCTTTCATGGTGTTGGAGTTCGAAGATCCTTTGACAAGCGTAGCTCTAGCCGCTTCGTTATCAATCCAAGCTATCAACTTCTGGTTTCTGATCTGGTCCGCAATGAAAACCCTAGCTGCTAAAAAGGCAAAGAGCTCGATCTGGCAAATAAGCTGAGACCCGACTTCTTTGGTCCACAGTTTAACCAACCGGTCTGGCACATGCTCTTGAGTCACAATGCCCTCTCCTGTCTTGCCGTTTACAAAAACAAAGCCAGCACTCGCTCTGGATTGTTCCCACGCGCCATCCGAAAACAGGAGGTGAGTTGCTTCCATTCCCTTGGCCTCAAAGCGCCTTGGCGGCATGCTTCTGAGAAGGTTAGAAGCTGTCTTGCAGAGAGTACGTAGTTTCTTTGACTGTACCTCTCCTGGCGAGTTCGAAAGTCTGTCAAAGCTCCCTAACAAGAAACGCAAGGCTTTGGTGACGAAAAAGGCTGAGGCGAAATTGAGATGACCTTGAATCTCAGCTGCTTCACCCCTGGAGATGGATCCCCTTTGGCTTATTTCGTCCAACATCTCGCACAGCTTCTTTACGCGGCTTTCTTTGTTCTCCAACACAAAACTCGATTCGTGGAGTTCGTCCAGACAAACGTGAACACCTAGGGCAGCAAAATCACTAGCGAAGTCAACTGCTTTCTTGCCAACTTGTGCATGATCCCATCCCAAAAGGTTGAGAACTGCCGTCATTGACTTTGTCAAAATGGCTGCAGAAGGTTCGGTACTAATTGTCGGGAAATCATCATAGTAACAAGTACACACTGCTGCAAGGTAAGTCGAGAGTATAAAATGGAGTGACCTTGAAATCCTGTTAAAGGAGTATACGGCGGACACGGCTCCAAAGGGCAGGACTCCCGTCGTGTAATACTTCCAACCGTCTTTCCAGTATCCTATCACACAAAAGGGTTTCGAATCTGGGTGCAGTGGCACTTGCTTGTATGCCTTGGAAAGGTCCAAGGTTCTACCCATCCAACGCTGCCCTCGGACTGCTTTGTGAACTGAGCCTCCAATCGTGCCTTCATCAGCTACTTCAAACTCGACCTGGCCTTTTTCGACCGCCTGCGCCACGGCCGCCAGGATGCATGCCAAAGTATCCATGTCATACAACTGAAGTTTAAAGTTGGTCGTGTAGGCGTCGTTCAGGCCACTCCGCCTGCAGTCATCGATCACTCTGTGTTTCGGCTCCTCCGGGGAGCCCTGATATAAGAGAAATCGTTTGTTGAGCAGCCATTCACCATTGAACTTCTGATCCAACTGTTGCTCTGTGAAAGGTCCCTCCAAGAAACCTAGTCCGACCTCTTCCAAAGTGGCTCTGTGCAGGTCGTCTTGCTTGCTCTGGTCAGTCTCAGTCTGGGTTTGCATCGCCCGCCTTCTCCACTTGGCCGACTTAATCAAGTTGTCTTCCGACTCGATTGCGGGCTTCCAGTCCTTGGGAAAGAGCGGCGATTGGCTGTGTGACCCCGTGAGCTTGACGCCCTCCTTCATGAAACTCACCACGTCCATGTCTGCAAAGCCAGCCGCCTTTAGCAAGCTCTCCCACAACAAGATGTTCTTGGAGGATAGGACTTTGGCAACGGAGGTGTCCAACTGCTGCTTCATCGCACGTTCGTCGGCTTTCAATTCTTTGTGCAACTGGTTGATCATGTGAACCGCCTTGAGGCGCGACTTGGCCAGCTCAACTGGATCTGTGGTCAAGTTCTTGACCAGTGCCTTCTTACTGTCATCGGGGATGGCAATCGAAGGATTCAGTGGGTGCTTTGCCTGCTTCGCCTGCTGCAGAAAGTCGTACGGTCCCCACTGAACGCCATATTTGAGAGACTGCTTCAAGCTCTTGGTTGGTCGTTGAACTTGTTCGCTCGGATAGTCGTCCAATGGCGTCGGCTGTTGATCCCCAGTTAAATGGGACGCCAAAAGGCGCATGTTGGAGGAGGACTGTGGCTTGTCGTGGTAAACAAAGGTGGCAAATTCAGACACAAGCGGCTGAAAAGTGAAAGTCTGGGTCCCGAATGCGGCTCGTGTGAGAGCGGATGACGAAAGCTTTGCCTCGGGCACGGGCGGCAGGCCGACATATTCTGCCAAACACTCTGCCATCCTCACACATAGCAATTTGGGATATGCACCCTCAGCGGCTGTGTCAAAATGCAAGCGTTGACCATCCTTGTGAATCAACCAGGGTTCATGCGAATGAGAACCATCACACCTGCCTGCCATGCTGTTGTAGACAGACGGGGTACTCAGAAACCGAGTGTGCTTCTTGCGAGAGCCTCCATGGACACAGTTATCAAATTCGACTGGGTCCAAGCGCGAATACCACTGTCTAAAAGGCTCAGGTTGGTCACGCATGTAGTGGGCCAGAACCGCCCAAAGCCATGAACGGCCTGGGTTTTCAATGGATACCACGATGGAGAGCTCCATGCACAACCTCAAAATCTCTATGGTGAATCGGTACAAAGAATTCGCAGCAACGACCTTAGCTTTGTCCTGGGGTCTCAAATCAGGCAGACCCAGGACATGGCCGGCATCTCGGAGAGGAGGTGGAGCTGAAAAATCATGCAAATGAGAAGGCAAGGCACGTTCCCTGGCTCTCGAGCAAGTTCCACACGGACACCCTAGGTGCAATCCAACTGGCCTCAATTCGCGAATCATTTCCAGAATCACGGACTGCGCGTGAGGCGAACCAAGGTCAAGCTCGGTCAAAGAAGCTTGGGGTTTATGCTTATTGTGCTGATGATCGATTGCAAAAACTGTAAAGCCCCGCGCCCTCATAGCACGGGATAGGGCCGCCGATCCAGCCAAAAACTCAATGAAAAACTTTTGTGAAACATCTGAAGTCGCCCTATGTCAGTTGTGCACACACTCCGTGGCCGAAACCGGTTTATTCCAGCCCTTGCGCCAACACACATGGAAACCGTATGCACAACGTTTCCCTGGTTTCACGTTGGCACGGCATCTGCCAACATTAAACTGCTTGCACACCGGCTTGCCCGGATCGCCGAATAAGATGCTGCATCCCTCAGGCACTTCAATGAATTGCCCTCTCTTGCCTTTACCCTTCCCACTTCCTTTCTTGAAGCTTGGAGAAAGTCCTTTACGAAATCCAGCCTTTGCTTTTTGAGCTGG